TTTAACAGAAAAACCATTATGCTTTGGTATGGCTGGAAAACCGTGACCTTGTTTTAGGTTTTTCTTAAAAACAACAACAAAGTCTGGATTAACGTTAATAAAATGTTTTTAAAGACTCAATTTTCAATTAAAACAGAATTTGGATAGAAGGCGATGTTAAAATGTAGATATATTCCTACATTGTTGCAAAACCAAAGAGCACAGCATTACAAGTCAAAACACGGTGCACTGAGGGACCAATCTCATTTAATCAGCCCAAAAGAATGAAATACCAAAGTGAACAAAGAATGATGGAGGCAATGGAAAGTCTGAGGAATTGGTTATTGTTGTTGTAATGTATCTCATAACAGCTTGGACTGCCACTAGTAAAACAAATGTATATTTTTCCTAAACACAAACTGTCACTACTAAAACAATGTAGGCTTTAACATACATGCTCATCTGGAAAGCCTCTCTTTAAATAAGAAGTAATTATAAAGGGTAATTGAAATAAAAATTAAAGTCTTTAGGTAGCTCCAAGAGTAAGAAAATAGTTTTCATAATGATCTATTTTGAGGTGTAATTTGGAACACTAATGAATTAACATTAATGGTATCTTTAAATAAACGTTCAAGTTAAATAAAAAACAATGAAAAACACCAATATCAGGAGGTTTGGTACCTTAAAATAGATAGAGCACCTATTTCTTAATGAATGGCTTTGTCACACATGTATTATCTCCCCCATTTCAAAAACTAAACACAAAACTCAAAAGATAAGCAATCTATCTATATACATATGTAGGTACATGTGTATTCACATATACATATGTAGATATATGTATATTCACATATACATACATATACATATATGCATATGCTTATATAATTATATAAAAACTGGTGCATTTTTTAAAAGAGCAAACAATTTCACAGGTTTAAAAATATTTCTTAGATCTGTGAAATTGTGTGCTCATTTAAAACAATGTACCAGTTCTTTGTATATTTGTGAATTCTTGATAGGGTGTGTGTGTGTGTGTGTGTGTGTGTATGTGTTTAAATAAGTAGAAGTAGCAACAGAATTCTTGGATTGAGATCCCACCTTTCTTTGAAAGAACTCTAAAGTGCCCTGATATCTTTTATCTATCTCCTTTACCCTAACAACTGTGCCTATGAGATAGTTAAGTGGAGGGAAGTTATTATCCCTATTCTGCAGATGGAGAAACTGAGAAAAAAAAGTGTTAAGTAGCTTCCCTAAGGTCACACAGTGATTCAGTAACAGAGCAGGAACTAGAAACCTGGCTTCCTGATACCTAATTCAGTGTTCTATGGAACAGATTATGTGCCTACTATGAAGTACTATTTTTGTAAAGGCTTCCCTTTCAATAAAGGAAACAGAACCAGTCATGTGACTTTCATTCAAGAAAGGGTGCATGTGTTTTCATTAGCACCTTACTTGTCTACTCCTGGGAATGGGATAGGAACTCTACACCAGTATTATCTTGTTATGACAAGAGCTAGCCAACTAAACCAAGGGAAAAAAAAAAAGAAAGGTTATTTGGTTTGTCAACTAAGCTCATTATACTTCTGAAAGTGTTCAAGTGCTTTGATATTTCAGTAAGTACAACTTCCTCTTAAATGTAAATAGAGTAGTGCCTTTATTGTTCCCTTGCAAGCATTTCTTTCATACCAAAGTTACTCAACCATTGGTTTTAAAATCATCATGTGATATACTCTTTATCAAATAAATTTTAGACAAATCCACCTGAAAAATTGACATCAGATATTACTTTAAGCAGTATTTCTTGTCAAATTTGTTTTAGAATATTCAAATAAATCTTAAAATGAGAAGCCCTCCAAGAATAGAAAAAAAGCTAAAATACTAATTTTTCTTAATAGCCAGTATAAGCCACTGTACAAATTTTGCTACATCTGGTTGTCAAGTTTACACAAATCAATAGTTTTTTAAAAGCAATAACAAATTTCTGATCCAATAAAAATCCAGATGGATAACAGAATGAAAACAAGTGTTCCTGCACACACACAAAAGGTGGGTGACCTTTATTTCATTTCTTCTTTAAAACAATTACACAGTTATTTTTAATTCATATTTTCATTTATACCACTTTAAAAAAAAACTGCCTACCTAAAGCTTTTATCAATGAACTTTGGTGATCCAGTAAAAGTCCATTGCAAACACAAGCAAACAATGATACACACCCTTTGTGCTACTACTTATGCAAACAGTAAACAGGATATAACTAGCACCAAGGTATTTTTCTTCAATCGATACCGTTTTTCTATACCCAGCACAGTTGTTCTGCACAAATATTAAACACTTCCAAGAATTAAGGCTAAAATCCAATGTGATCGAGGGCACTCCTTCCTCTTAGCTCACTGTAAAAGATCAATTCCTTTTTTTCCCCCTAATCCTACAACGGCATTTCTATAAATCACACTCTTAGAAGGCATTTGTGCTGTTATGGCCTTTTTATGTAAAAGAACCAGAAACACTTTTCATATGTAATTCTAATCAACACAGAGGATTATTCTGTGAATTTGTAAATGCTAATGGTCTGGCTCAATAGATCACTACTTATGGATTACATTAATAATGAAAGATGAAACATTTGTACTTTCCTAATCTACTATTCCTTGTGTTACAAGTTAATTCACTATAGGTTCATTTAATATAAAGCCTCCTTTTTTATTTATCTTGAAATTGGCTAACCTGCTTCCAAGCAGGGTGTATGCAAATAGACATACACACACATACTTACGAAAACTGCCAGCCAAAAAAACTGTTCAGTTATGAAGGATACAAAATACATAGCATTTTAACTTGAAAGCAATAAATTCTTCACAAGGGAGAGAGAGAGAGACAGAGAGACAGAGAGACAGAGAGAGAGAGAGAGAGAGACAGACAGACAGACAGACAGAGAGAGAGAGAGCGAGAGAGCGAGAGAGAGAGAGAGAGAGAGAGAGAGAGAGAGAGAGAGAGAGAGAGAGAGAGAGATATTCAGGTAGGAAAACTATCCAAAATAGGCTAAGCTTGGTCTCCAAACACACAGTATCAGGCTGTTTACCATTTTTATTAACCCTAAGAGGGCACTGTATCATACACGAATCAGAATCATATTTTGGAATCAAATTTGCTTCATCAGATAGCTCTCAAGCCCTGTACCTTCAGTGAGCTCACTCAATGAACAGACTCCAACCCTAATACCTCCTGTAAACTGAAGGCAGAAACCAACAGCCAGGGCCTCACCTGAATCCAGTCCAGGTTTTTATTACCCTGCTCCTCCCCTTCAGGGACAGGCCGGAAACAGTAAAAGCTATCAGTTCTTCAGCTTGTGTGTGTTTGTGTTTTGTTCTTGTTTTTGTTTTATTTTAGTATAATCAGGTCTGGGCAAAAATTGTTACTTTTACAGTTTGTGTGTCAAAATATACCTACTAAGACACACAGGGACTTTATTTCTGTTGCTCTATTGATATATTCTATGCAAATTTTCAGCTAACCCTTTCACTCCCTTCAGAAAGTTGGCAGAACTACCTAGAATATTTGTTTGGTACACTGTACAACAAAATAACCTTCAGTGAATGAATGATGTTATAGGAAAAAGTCTAACACATCAACTTTATCTGAGTTTCATTAGTCTCCAAAAGTCCTTATTATTTTTCAATTATTGTGTCACTCAACTTTTGGACTTACTTCCGAAAGAGGAAATAGCTTTTCCTCTAGAAAACTAACATGGGGAGGCAGAGAGGGGGACATATTTTATGATTATAGCTAAATCTTCTAAAATACTACTACTATTTCATAAAATGCCTACTAGATTTAGATGTGTTCTTGTTAGGGAGACAAAAAAGAAAGAGATAAATGTGACCTCTTGCCAGCCTAGTCATCCAATGCAATGCTTGCTAGTTGTTTACTCAAAAAGCAAAACAAAACAAAATTAAAAAAACCTCATCAATTATAATATTCAATTGGTCCTGTTCAAGTTTCCCTGCTGGAAAACCTAAAACATGCCTCTAAAAACCAGCACCTCAGCAAAGGAACAGCTATGGAATCAAAAAAGAAACCCAACATTTGAATCTTTCTTTTTGTCTTCAAGCTTTGTGTATTTCAGCTCTACTCCAACATACAAGCCAATTACCATGCCTTCATATTTAGAATGAACTGCCACCTGCAGTTTACACATCACTATTCACAGGCCTTTGAAGAAAATTCCCAGAACCATGATGAACCCTCATACAACTATTACCGACAAAACCCATGTTTTTGTTTCACATTCTGTGCTTCGTGCAGATTCACTAAAATTCCTCTATAACAGATAAAAATAATTTGGATAGTGGAAAATATCATTTAGTTTCTATACAAAAGTTTAATTAAATTAATAATTATTTGATAAGCTAATCAATTATTCACCCTGTCACCCAGGGAAAATGGTCGGTAACTTTCTAAAGAAATTTTCTCTGTACTCTATTTTCAAAAAAACAAAACACCAAAAAGAAAAAAAAAACTTTTAAGTAACATTTAAAAAATTAACATGTATCCAGTCTAGAGTACTGCAATCCAGGGGAAGGTGAGAACAGGAAGAAGTCTAAGCAGGACTTATTTAGACCTTCCAAATAATGTTCTAGTCACTAAAAAGATAAATAGTGCTGTTTTACGCAAGAAAGGTTCGTAGTGTTAACAGATTGGATTTTTCAATCTGTGTGGAGGAGTGTTGGGGGGAGGGAGGGAGAGAAATGACCTGGATGGAAAAATGAAAATATCACTGTTTTTAAGCCTCCTTCACATTAACTGTTTTCCTGGTTTTGGGGAAGGCCTTACTCTGGCAGAAAGGCCCATACAGGAGCCCAAAGTCAAACAAACCAAGCTGAATTCAGGGCTTTTGCCATTCAGGTCAAGTTATTAAGAATGAGAAAGAGTAGAGTTCAGGCAGTACAGGTTCCCCATGCCTGCCTTTTGCTACTCCCCCCACTTTGCACCCAATTACAAAGCAAAGATGGTCTCACCTTTCACAGCTGTAGCCTCCTTCAGATGATGGGACATAAAGTCAATGCTAGCATAGGTGTTGGCTGTGGGCAAGGGTCCAGAGCCTGGTCCCACACAACCACCTGTGTTGCTGCCATTTCCACCATTGATGAGCCCACCCAGGCCACGGGTCCGGGCCCAAGTATTCTTGTCTCCAGACTGCTGCTGCTGCTGCAACAATAGGCCAGCTTCATCTCTAACATCAATGGCAATGTAGTTGAGACCATTCTGGAAGCCTGCTGATGTCTCCCGACACATAGGAGAGGTACTGCCCCCAGGGCAACCGACTAACGCTCCAGATTGGTTTTGGGTCCACCTCAGCTGCTGGGGCTGAGGTGGCAGAGGGAGCGAAGGCTGCTGAAGGTGGGGAGACATAGACGGCTCTTCTTCACCTCCTCCAAGACTCTCACCACCACTGCCACTGGGCCCTTCGCCACTTTTCCTGAGAGAGACATTTTCCACAGAGGCCGAGTTGTGGCGCTTAGGATTGTGTGCGAAGGACGGGGACACAGGGGTCACAGTAGTGGTCGAGGAAAAGGTTTCCGAGCTGTGGCGTCGGCGGCCACCCTGTGGGTCAGCACGGATGACCTTGGCACCCCGGTGTGGGTCTGGGGGTGGGCTGGCCAGCAGGAAGGCCTCTACACCAGACACCTGCTCCATCAAACTCAGCCGCTTCACACCAGATGTAGGGCTGGTCACCCGGGCACTTTCTGGCTTCGGAGGGGCTGCAATGGGCTGTGGTGGAGTGGCAGCTATGCCGAAGGCCATCTCGGTGTAGTCACCACTATCCCCTGACTCAGGGGGACAAGACGGAGAGGAGGAAGAAACAGGGGCTGGGTGGCAGGTAGAAGAAGCTGGAGGCAGGCGGTATAGCTCTCCCGGTGGTGGTGGAGGTGGTAGTTGCTGCTGCTGTGAGGAAGAAGTAGAGGAGGAGGCAGGTGGTGTTGGCAGTGGTGGGCAGGGCGAGGAGGCCTCAGGGGACATCAAGGCATCCAAAGAGCCCACAGAGCCACCACCCTCAGTGCCAGATTTGGGTGACTTGGGTGAGCCAAAGCCAAGGTTCATATAATCAGAGAGAGGAGAACGCCTCCGGCTGTCACCACTGGTGCCAGGGGTACCTGAGCCCATCGAAGAGGCGGGGCTGCTAGCTGAGAGTAGCGATGATGATGAGGCTGCTGAGGTCAGCAGAGGAGGTGGAGGTGGTGAGAGGTGGGCTCCAGACTCACTAAAGTCAATGTTGATGTACTCACCTGGGCTTTTGGGCTCAGGTGGCAGAGGGTACTCATGCATGCTAGGTAGGGTTCTAAGCCCCTCCAGGGACAGACGAGTTGGCCGGACTGCTCTGCAACGCTGAATGAGGAAACTCTCTGGCCGGCTGTTGTTGCCACTGCTACTGCCACTCTGCCTAACTGCTGAAGGCACTAGGTGGTGAGGCTGGGAGTGGCTGTCCCCGTTAGACACAAAGGGCCTGGTGGTCTGGGTGCAGGGGGTAGCCGTGGCGGGCAGTGGCTGCAGCCTCGGCTGCTCTTGCTCCTCTTCCACAATCCTCCTCCCCACTGGAGAATTCATGAAGACATACTGGTCACTATCCCCATTTCGAGGACAGGGAGTCTTGTAGGACCGGGGCAGTGAGCTGTAACAGCAGCCTGGGATTCCCTTGGGTCGTTCTCCACCACCAGGCAAGGGGACTGAGTCATAGAAGAAGTCAGGTGGGGTGAGAGAAGCTCCAGCATCACTAGGGGACATGTTAAGGTAATCCCCATTGGGAAGTAGCTTGCCCTCAGAGCTTTCCACCGACAGCTTGGACCCGCACCACATGCGCATGTACCCACTGTCCTCAGGAGAGCTTTCAGCTGGAGAACTGGTCTTGAAGCTGCTGCCATTCAGTGGAGAGCCTCTACCGCTTGTTGCTGATGAGGCTGCCTGGGAGGCTGCACCTGCAGCAAGGGAGGCTGCTGCCATCCGTGGCTGTAGTATCTGTTTGGGAGCAGAGACGCTGGTGGGACTCATGGGCATGTAGTCATCACTTTTGCAGCTTCCAATGCTGCCCCCTGCCAGTGGGGCCACTCCAGGAGTCATGGGCATGTAGCCATCATCTGCTCCAAGGTTACTGCTGGAGCTCCGGTGGGAGCCAATCTCAATGTCCCCATAGTCCTCTGGGTATGGGTTGTAGGTCACTTTGGGAGATGAGGCTGGGTAAAGGCGGCTTGAGCTGCCTGCAAAACTGGCCCGCATCAGAGTATATTCATCAAGAGAGGCAGAGGACACCTGGGGTACTGCACGTTGGCGAGCAGGAGTGGTCAGAGAGTAAGTCCTCTTTCTGTGACCTTTGTCCAAGTCTGAGGCCCCCTCCCCGGACACCCTTCGGTAGTTTCGGCCACACAGACTCAGGGGTCTCTCCATGGTCATGTATCCATATAGTTCAGTCCCACTACCATCTCTTGCTGGTGGGGTCTCAGCTATAGACTCAGGAGTGTTGCTTCGGTTACTGCAGAAGGCCCGCAGGTCCCCAGGGCTAGAGCCATATTCATCCAAGGACATGAAGCCTGGGTCACTGGGGGAGCCAGAAGCAGAAGCACTGCCACTAGAGGGCCGCTGGCCCTGGTGGAGGTGAAGGTGGTGTGGATGTGGATGCTGTCCTTGAGGCAAGGAGTAAGAAGCTGAGCCATTCCCGCTGCTGGAGGACAGGCTGCCAGGGCTGGTGGCAGACGGAGGCGAATGGGATACCGGCATAGACGTGGATCTGCTGTGCTGCAGGGAGCCTCCTGCAGGGGCTAACATCATCTTATTAGGTCGCATGGAGGCGCTGCAGCTGCTGCTCAGAGTATGGGACCTGCTCAGGGGAGTCCTCACCGGGCCGGGACTCATGGGGCTGCCGGCCACTGACACCGGCCTGCAGCCCGCCCCTCCTCCGCTCCCGCTGCTGCCATCCCCCTCGCTGGCCGTGCGTACCCTACAAGAGCTGCACTTCCCAGCTCCTGGGGCCTGGGTCGCAATGGGGTTACTCGCGGCGGGAGGCGTGGCGGCCAGGCTGTCGGTCCGGGATCGGCGAAGGAGCCCAGTCTGGCTGGGTGGCAGGTTGACCAAATGATGGTGGTGATGACGCCGGGTGCCCGGGACGCTGATGGGGTGGGTGGAAGAGGAGCCCGAGGACTGGCTCTTGCTGCGGGGTCGGAATTCGAACAGCTCCTTCAGAGCTTTCATGGCCTCCAGGATGGTTTCGTGGATGTTCTGGGCCACCACTGAGTCATCTGCCTGCATCCAGAGCTCGCCAGGGCCCGTGGACGCCGAGCGCCCTACCTCGATGAAGAAGAAGCTGTCCGAGTGGCCGCAGCGTCGGATGTTCATCAGCTGCAGAGTGACCGACGGCACCTCGCAGTTGAGCTTCACAAAACCAATGGTGCGTGCGGAGAGGCAGAGCCGGTACACCCCGGTCAGGTTCTTGCTCTGTCCCAGCCCTTTGGGCTTCAGGTTCACCTGCCAGACCTCCCGGTAAGCCGCGGTGGCCGGGGTGATCAGCCCATAGTGGAGGTCCTCGGCCGCTGCCCCAAAAGAGCCGCTGCCGCCCGAGCCAGGCAGGGAGGCGCTGCAGGACGAGGCGCTGGCCGACGAGGCGCCGGACGAGAGGCAGTGCGGGTAGAGCGTGCTGGAATCATAAGCGGCTTTGCCCTCGTTGAGCAGGTCGGTGAGCGCCCGGTACCAGCCCTCCTGCTCCTGCTCATTTTCGGCTGCCACAGCGAAGTACTCGTCCTTGGTATAGAGGGCGATCAGATACTTGTGCTTGGCGTCCGCCCGCTTGTTGATGTTGAGGCAGGAGTCTAGGGCGATCACCCTTTTCGGGGCCCCCGACTTGTTTTTCCACTTTTTCTCATTCTCGTAGTACTCCAGCCTCGCGGGCAGGGGTGGCTGCCCCCCAGGCCCCCCACCGCTCTGCTCTTCCCCGCCACCCCCAGGGCCCCGGAGCACGAAAAAGCGTTTGTGCCCGTGTTTTTGCTTCCTCAGGTAGCCGCACTTCCGCACGCTGTGGTTGTTGTTGTTGTTGTTGTTGTTCAGGTTGGTGCCGCCGCCACTGCCGCCACCACTGCCGCCGCCTCCTCCTCCGCTGGAGGAATTCGCCGGGGTCAGGAGCCCGTTCAGTGGCGGGCTGGCCATGCTCCCGGGAGGGTGCAGTCCTGACCTCCCCAATCCAGTCGCGAAGGCAACAGGGGGAGGGGGAAGGGGAGGCAAAGGGAGGGGTGATTTGGGGAGGGGGAGTGATTTGGGGATGGGAGGTTGGGGATGGCTTCCCTTCACTCAATTGAAAGCGTCTCTTTCCCCAAAGGTTTAAAAAAAAAAAAAGGAACGATCGGAAGATGAGCCGAGCCGGCTTCCCTCGGATGCTCGGTTATCTCTGGTGGTCGGGCCGAATGATGCACAGATCACAGTCCACTCCCGCCCCCACCTTCACCAACTTCCCGCGGCTTCTCTCTCTCCAGTATCTCAGGCTGCCCTAAAAAGCACACTGTAGACCCCGTCTCTGGACTGCAGGCGCCTTCACTGTTTAGGCTGTCCGCTGCTCCGGGTTAAGCGGCGGCACTTGTCCCTACTGCCGGGGCTGCAGCCACTACCGCCGCCGCCGCCGCCGCCACAGCGGCTGCCGCTGCCTCTTTGCGCTCTGGGCTGCTTCGGTGAGCGGCGAATCCCTCGGCGTGGCTCGGGGGTTGCTGCCTCTGCTACTGCTACTGGTGCTACTGCCGCCGCCAACGGCGACTCTTGCCTGTCTCGGTCCCAGCTGAACAGTGAGTAACACATCGCGCACTGAGTGACTGAACTAAAGAGCAAAACAACATGTGACTCTGCGTTACGCAGGCACACACACGAGCGCAAGGCGAGGGGGGAAAGAGGGGGCTAGAGAGCCGCACTCCTCCCCCACACGCACCCCGCATTGGGTGCAGCGCCAGGGGACTGACGGCCCTAAGCACCAATTGAGCACCACGCAGAGGAAGTTGGGGGTGGAGGCGGGGGGGGGAAGAGGGGGAGCCAGAGGGTGGCGGGAGGAGGGAGAAGGGAGGAGAGAGAAGGCGGGCCGTAAAGCACCCCTCCTTCCCCCCCCTCTTCCCTCCCTCCCTCCTCCTCTCTCTCCTCCTTTCTCCTTCTGTTTCTTTTCCCGCCTATCCCCTCCCCCGCTCTGAGCTCCCCTCCCCTCCCCGCACACACGGTAAAGAGATGGAGGGACTGGGAAGGGGGGCGTAGGGTATGGGGGAAATGCCAGCTCTAGTGCCTCATTAATCAGAGGCTTGTTGTTGATGCACGCGAAGGAAATGCCACCCAGGGCGTGAAAAAGGAGAGAGGAGAAGGGGCGGGGAAAGGGGAGCTGGGGGAGGAAGTGGGGGGGGCGAGACGGACCTTTCACTCCTGCTATTGAATATATTAAATTATCCCCACACTTCCGCTGTAAAGGAAATACTGTAAAGCATGTATGGGGAGGAGGTGGGGGGACTCTTTGGAGATCAAAGCGCAGACACAGCTAGCTAATAGGTTGGGAAAGGGGGGCGGGAAGCATCCCCCCGAATAAGCCCCAATGCATCTCACACTCTACCCCCGCCCCCCACTCCAAATCTGCTGCGGCTCCGGCTTCATGGAATCTTTTCGTTTGGGAAGAAAGGAGGTGTGGACGAATTCGGACTTCTTTCTCGGCACTCTCCCCCAGCGCCGACCCCAATTCCGGAAAAGCAAGCCGTTCTTTAATATTTCTGAGAAGTTTATGCTGCCGATTAGCCGTTCGGTGGAAAGGAGAATGTGTGGCGCAGCTCATGTTTGTTTACGGGTCTAGGGTGGAAGGTCTCTGGGGTCGGGGTGCCCTCACTTTTGTTGAGCTCTCAGTATTTTTTTTTTATTTTAACATTCTGTCTCTCTCTTCCCCTTGTCTGTAAAGGGTGGCCCTGGAGAGAGCCTGGCTGGCGCTTGTTTACGAACATCAAAATTAGTCACACGGTGAGATGAAGCTCAATAGCAGCTTCATTCCCTTTACGGGAAAGAAGGGGGGCGGAGGGTGGGGGGGATAAGAAGAATTCTCATTGTTAAGAAGAGGACAGCCCCTGAGATACAAGCTGGGGAGGGAGGGGGTGTTGAAAATCATTGCTTAGGGTGAGGTATGCCGCGTAAAAACTGGGGGGGGGGGAGCAGAATACGGAGAGGAAAGAGTAATGATTCTTGGGATGAAAGCAAAGCTCAATGGAAACCCCCCAGCTTAGGCTGGTTTTAATCAGCCACAAATCTCTCTCCCAGACCAGGCTTCAGACCTTTCTTTTTTACATATGCTTGGGGGGGGTGGAGGTAGGGGGTTAGGGGTGGGAGGGCGGATGTGTGTGGCAGGGGGTGGGGGCAAGATGAGGGAAGAGGGGGACTGGTCGCACAAACATCCCTGTTTTCGCATTTTCTTTTCGGGATGTCATCAGAACCTATTAACTTGTCAGATTGTCATGAAGTTGAACCCATCTGTTTTGGATGTAACAGGAGAAAAAGAATGAGAAGGAACAGCAGCCAGAGAAAAATACAGTTTCCATAGTGCAGGGATAGGGCGGGCACCAGCAAGAAAACAACATTAGCTAAACTCTGTGTCAGCAGCCGTTTGTTCCTTGCCTGCTCAGACCCCATCCCACACGTACACACACTCACAAGAGGGTAGGAGAGCATATACCCACCTTGCAGCTAGCGATCCCTCCTCCCCCCTAGGTAGAACAGAATTTTGAATTCCTGCTTCTAATTTTTGGGATGGTTTTATGGATTTTGAAGATTTTCCCCCCTTCTTTGGTCTGGACCTGCGATTTCATCTTTGTAGATGTCTCCTGGTTAGGAAAGTCCCTTTTGGCAATACAAATCAACAACTATACTTTTATTTGTTGTCTCAGAGAGTTGCCTGATGGTACTGAGAGTTTAAATGACTTGGTCTGGGCCACATAGCTAGTATATATCACCAGAGGTATTTGAACCCAGCTTTTCCTGTCTCCAGGTTGGCTCTTTATTCACTATGCTAGGCTGCCTCTCATGATTTTCATACTCAGAGACGAAATAGGTTCTCCAAAATCCTTTATATTAGAAACAGTAGGCTTAATTTGGCTATAGGATCATAGGTGGAAAATGAAGAATGGAATTGCTCTTTAAAAAAAAACAAACTTTTTTTTGGTTTTACTTCTTGAGAGTCTGTGAAGTTGCATGAGAGAATAATTTCTCAAAGTAATGAATAATTGTTATTAAATTATTTAAATATCAATTATGTACTTGAATTTCTTTGATAATTTGTAAAGAATAATTTTCAAAATGTGTTACAATCTTAATTGTGTCTTAAATAATTTTAAGTGGCATTTTAAAAATCAAATGTGATGTAGTTTTAAAACATTTGCATGTTAAATGATCTGAAAATTAACAAAACATTTTTGCACCATTATTTGCATAGAGTTATGATTAAAGATCAGTGTTGCAAAGAGATTTTGATATAAAATTGCCATGAAGTAAATTCATTTAAATCCCGTTCCTTAATCCTTGACCTCTTTATAAAGACATGGTAGTGTGTAACTAGGCATGCCACCTTTAAATGTGGTTTTCTTGTTTTGTTTGTGTGTAGGGGTTGGTGGGTTGGTGGGTGAGATGAGGGAGGCAATGTGTGTGGACATTTCAGTTCGATTTTCTGTTTGCTTCTTCTGTATATGTTGTTGCCTTTTATATCAACAAATGTTGCCTAGCAATTCAGTGTATCTCTATGTGGAAAGCATAGAGGGAGTCTTACCTGGAGGTTTGAAGAAAATGTATACTGCTTTATTGGCCTTGTAACAATTCACATTACATTAGGAAAAAACATGTACATATGACCCCTTTCCCTTCATCATTTCACCTAGATTACAGAAGATGTTACCAGGAGTTAAAGAGGTGACATCTTACCATCACTCTGTAACTTCCTGTGAGATGTTTGGTCCAAGTATTTTTCTTGCTCCCCAGTAACCCCCACCTTCAGATTTTTACTCTACACTAGGATGAATTAAAAATTCTTATGCATCTTCAGCTGTTAGACACATATGATGCTAGCAAGCATAATCTAGAAGAAGTTTCTTGACTGCCGTTTTAGGGCCATTCTAGTTTAAATGCCAACTTTTTTTTTCTTTATGGTTAAGGATCAGTAGCTATTATGGACAGGCATGAAGTTTAGCTTGGCTGTTGCCTTCCATCTGTTGCCAGGGTCACCAAGTTTAGGGTAGGCAAACTGAGAAAAAGGGTGGAGAATTATCATGTACGTCATTAGCATTGTCTTATACCATCAAGATTACAAATCTCTTGCAGAAGAAAAAAACCAAACTGGTTTTAATCCTGATGCCCTTGAACCTCAAAATGTGGGAGGTATATATTCAACTCACATCAGGAAGTTTATTCCAGGATGCTGAAGCCAAGAAATTCTGTACTCAGAATTATTCCAGTCTTCTTTCTCATGTGCTGTAGGCTTTTTCTTTCCATCTTTTATGGTCAGTGCATTCTCATTTCTTTCTGTGAAAATTCCTGGTTCTCTCTCTCTCTCTCTCTCTCTCTCTCTCTCTCTCTCTCTCTCTCTCTCTCTCTCTCTCTCTCTCTCTCCCCTCTCTTTCTCCCTCTCTCCCCTCTTTCTCTCTCTCTCTCTCTCACACACACACACACAGAGAATATATCATTATATACTTATTGACTAATTTAAGATCTGTTCTATACCTTCTTGTTTTCTAAATGTTCTCCCATACTGTCTTTCAGCAAAAGTCAGCTATTAACTCCTGCCCAATATGCTTTAAACTGAAGGACTGAGAACTGTTGAATGGCCTGCTGCCAGCACACAGCCTGGTTGAAAATTTTTCTCATGCCCCAAGATCTTTAGTTGGCAGTTTTTTCCACTCTTTCTGTAGGATAATAAAGTGATTATGTCTTCTACCAAAAGGGATCCTTCATGAATCTTAGAAGTATTTTTCTATCTTAAACAAATTAGTGCTCTTTCTAGAACAATGGTTTTTCCTTTATAAATTACATTGTTTTGTTTTTTTAAGGCAAGTAAATATGCATCATAATCTCATATTAAGAGAAATCCATATTGGAAAATAAAAAGTGGTAGAAAATAATGGAAACATTATTTTTTTCCTTTGAGTCATTTCAGCTGCTATTTTATGAGTGAAAAGGAAGTAGAA